TCAATCCAGCTATTTACAGGAGATCTCCACTTTGAAGACGTTGGCTCAATTTCTCTTTAAAAGCCTGCTCAGGCGGCCCGGAAGCTGCTGGTGGGCTGCACTGGGCGGGGAGCCAGTGGGTGCAGCCGGGGGGTAGGGAGGTGGGGGTCTGGTGGGGGGAGCCGGGGCCCAGCAGCGCCCCCCGCAGCTGCCTCTGACGCCAGGCCCCCTGCCCCACTAGCTCCCGCCCTCAAGGGCCTGCAGGGTCTCCCATCTTCTGTCCGAAGGAGGGCTGGCCGACCTGGGTGGGGGCTACATGGGGCCCCAGGCAGGGCAGCTGGGGGAGGCCAGGCCCTTCTCACCTCAACCACCGGGGAGAGTCCGTGGTAGGCGCCTGACCTCCTGTGCTCTCCGAGGCAGTCACGAGGTGGTTCTGGGAGGTTCCATGGGGGGGTCCCACAGGGGGCCCTGGGCGCCAGGGCGCTGTCCCTGCTCCCACTCCTGCGTGCTGGGATCGCCACCTGAAACACCAGCTGGCACCCACGGCCTCGTCTTTGGCTCTGCTCTCAGCATTCTTCAAGCTGAAAACAACGGGATTTGGAATATATTAAACAAAAGTAATTGGAGGTGTGACAAGTGCCGGGAAGGAAACCAGTGGAAGCTGGTAGAAGAGAGCAGGGGGCTGACGTTGGGAAACAGGCTCTGGCAGGTGACAAGCGTGCAGTGCTGGGGTGGCCGGGGGTGTAGCTGCTGCAGGTGCCCAGGTGGGGGAGGGTCGCCGGGAAGGAAGGTGGGTGCACGGGGCCTGTCCCAGGAAAGGGCTCGGTCTTCCGGATGTGGCTGCAGTGAGGGAGGGAGCGTGACCAAGGCTCGTTCTCATCTCGACTGCCCTTCGGTCAGCTGAGGGCCGTACAAGGACTCCATTGCTCAGCCCCACCCCAGAGGCGCTGGCTCGCGGCACCGGAGAGGGGCCTGGGCATCGGGTACTTTACAAAGCCCCTCTTTGCCTCTAGCCAGGCTGCTGCTGAGGATTTCCGGCAAGGTGCCCCCAGGCCAGGCTGGGTGTCGGGTGCTCGGCTTACTTGTCCCCACCATACCACCGAGGCCCCTGCCAGGGCTGGTCCCGGTTTACCCACGCACTCAAGGCCGAGTGGTTGAGGAGTAACGGTGCAGGGACCTGAACCTGGTCTGCTGGCTCTGAAGCCACTCGGTCCTGCGTGAGGCTCCGTTGGAGGCAGGGATGTATCAGCAGCAGCTGTTCCAGCTCGGACACCTGGGGAGGGTGGGGGGACACAGTTTCTAATGGCGGCAAACTACAGCCCTCAACTGCTCCTGTCCTTGTCGATGGGCCCTGGCAGATTCTTTCAGAGGTCTCTGGCTGCCCTTGGGAAGGGCTGGAAGACATCAGACCAAAGACAAACAGGATGAGCTTCGAGGCTGGAGCGATGGGCACAGACACATGAATGGAACTGGGGCTTTGGGAATTTGGGACCATGTCCAAGAATGGCTCCATCCATCCATCCAACACACATTCAGAGACAGCCCACAGCATGCCGGGTCCTATACCCAGCCTCGGGGAGGCTGGGTCAAATAAGACACAAGCCTTGCCTTTAGGTGAGTCTAATGGAGAAGGAAGATGAAAAAAAAAACAACCCACAAAAACACAAAAAACCAACCCAAAAACCTGGCACCACCTGTGATCTACAATGTGTGTGCCACAGCAGCGTCCCCAGCTGGTGGCCTGGAGATTTTAAGGCGTCCAAGGACACACACTTCCAAAACGGAGTCCCAGACTGAGCTGCTGCTTCTCTTGGATCAGTCCTTCCGATCCTGTGAGACAGGAAGTCTCGGTTGGGTGCTCACAGGTCTGGAACACTCGCTGGTCTCCCGATTAGAGAGACGGGGCAGGCCTTGGGCCCGGAGCCCATGGCCAGTAATGGGAGGTGGTGCAGACTTAACGTGTATTGTACGTACTTGTACAGAATCTTTAATTTCTGGCAAATATAGTGGGTTGAATGGTGACTCTCCCCCGCCCCCAAAAGATATGTCCCCGTCCCCACCCCCAGCACCTGGGAATGTGAGCTTGTTTGGAAATAGGGTCTTTGGAGATGTAATGAAGTTAAGGATCTCTAGGTGAGATCATCCTGGATCAGACGGGGTCCCAAATCCAACGACTGGCATCCTTCTAAGAGAAGGGAGGTCTACACCGGGGGACAGAGGGAGGAAGGACCGCGTGAAGACACGCGCAGAGACCGGAGTGAGGCGGCCACATGCCAGGATGGCCAGCAACACCAGAAGCCAGGAGGGAGGTGGGGAACGGATGCTCCCTCTGAGCCCCCAGAGGAAACCGGCCCACCGACCCCTTGATCTCAGACCTCTGGTCTCCAGAGCGGTGGGAACACATTTGTGTTATTTTGAGCCGCGTGGTTTGTGGTCATTTGTTACGGTGGCCCTGGGAAACACACACAGCAAGTGGGGCTGGTTTTGTGTTTTGGTTTCCAGTGATAAAGTCTCCCCCTTTTTCAGCACACTGAATTTATAAGGTCAGTCAAGAGTCGAGGGAGTGATAGCTCAGGTATGTTGAGGCAGGCACTGTCTGGAGGGAAAGCGGGCTGAGCCAGGTGGCGTGGGGCCCAGGAGCAGGGTGGGCTAAGGGCCACAGCGCTCAGGTTGTGGGGTGGGTGAGGTGCCCGGAGGGCAGGGGGGGGGCCTCCTGCTGCCCCCCTCTTGCACCTTCGAGTAAATTCCTGGGAAGCCCCACGTGTTCCCGTCTGGGTGATTCAGACCTCTCTTCCTTAGGAGAGAGGCGCTTCAGATAGGGTTTTTTCCCACCGCTCTCAAGGGCCACGAGGTGTCGGGACAGGAGGGGAAGGGGGTTTCCAGCAGGCGGCTGCTGGGAAGCCATCTTCCCGGAGCATGGGACCCAAGGTCATTCGCTGGCAGGATGCTGCCCGCCTGGAGGAGCTCACCTGCTCCTCCACCTTCCAAGTGCCATCAGAAGATGCAGGGACAGGCCGGCCAGGCACCTGCACCAGGGCAGACCCCCGCAGGCCTCAGCTCCTGGCGGACTCCTGCCAGGCACTAGGTGGCCCCTTCTTGCACTGTGAGGGCACACAGTGCTCCGGGTGAAGCCCCTGAGCCTGGCGTGGGTGCTTCCCAGCCTGCCTTACAGACGGGAACCAGGGACTGGGAGAGCAAAGTGACTCGTCCCAGGCCACCAAGCAAGCCCAAGGCCTTTCCCAGGTTTGAGCCTGGGCTGGGAAGGGGGCGGGGGAAGCCGTCACGGAGGGTGTCATGCCCAGAGCTCCCCAGCCCCCTGCCCTGAGCTGAGCCCTTTGCCTGTGTGACTCCCTCCGGCCTCACGACCCTCGAGGCAGGCTCAGTCCTGTCCTTACTTTGCAGACGTGGAGACCCAAGCACAGGCAGGTGACCTGGCCGTGGCCACGGCCGCAAGGCTGCTGAGTGCCAGAGTCTGGCTCCAAATTCTGCCCCGTGAGGAGAAGCCGACATTTCTCGAAGAGCCGGGAGGCAGCAGAGGAAAGAGCCACCCCTCTGGGGCCACAAGCACCGCGCGGAGGGCCTTCAACCAGACCATATCTCAGGGTCTCGGGGACTAGCTCTGGGGAAGGGGATGGCTGTGATTGTGGACAAGCGTTCCAGATGGTTCCAGCATCCGTTCACCTGAGAACTACGGCTTCACTTCCTTCTTCCTGTGAACAGCCCAAGGACACTTGGCCCAGCAGCCAAGGTCTCAGATGGCGTGGGCAGCACGAAGCACACAGGCCTGGACTTGCACTCCAGGGCCCTTGGGAAGGTTGCTGAGCCCCACGGGGCCTCCGTTTCCTCATCTGTGTTGCCGGCCCCTGCCCTTCGCCCCTCACTCCCGGCGCCTGTCCCCACAACCCAGGGGCCTGGCCCTTGGCTGGCCCAGAACCCCCTCTGGAGGGAGCCCCCAACACCCGTTGTCCCCAGTTCTGCCCCCTGTGAGGCCTGTCTTCCCCCTTCTCCCGGAGGATCCTTCCAGCAAGTTCCTTTTTCTAAAGTGAAGTCACCGAAACCTGTGCATGCCCACGTGCCCGCAAAGCAGGGCTACTCTGGGGATGGGTAAGGCAGCACCCCCATGCCTTGTGGGCAGGCTTCCGAGGAACTGAGCCCCACCCTCCGCAGCGGCCTCCACCTTCTGCCATAAACGCAACTCCTGGCACGAGGCCAGCATCCCGTTTATGTTCTGGACTCAGTTCAGGTTTTACCTCAAGGCCCAAAAGGTCCTGCCTGTTTCTGGGCCAGGTTTAAGCTGGAGAACCTGTGAACCCACTTCCAGGGATTTCCGGAGCTCACGCAGGTGCTTGTCAATGTGTTCTGGAATGGTGCCCGCCCAGGACAGACTTCACCGGACTCTGTCCCTGGCGGCGAGCCCTTCCCACTTCCCCTGGCCCAGCGGCACGTGTGAGCAATGATGCCGAGGCTCCCTGTCCCCGGCCCTCCTGTGCCAGGCCCCATTCCGCAGGTGCAGAACCTGAGGCTTGGACGGAGAGCCCCCTGCACCTCGGTGGGCATGGGGCACCTTCTGAGCGCAGCCAGCCGCCCCTGGGCTCTCCCAGCCCGGCCCCGGCCCCTCCCAGGAGCCGGTGGATACCTGGCCCACGGTGCGCGCAGGTAGAGGCCCTGCCGCCGCAACGGACCATGGGGTGAGGCTGCAGAGAACCTTCCCGTTGCCGGGCCACGGCCTCCCTACCACAGTGCCACGGAGCAGCACCCACATTCCTGGTAACTTTCTTTTATTGCCAAGTTCAAATTTACCAGGAAGTTCCAGTTTTCATTTCCACCCTCGTGTTCAGTGCCCACAGAACATGAGTCACGCTGGCGAGAGCGGGTACTTCCCTGGAATGGTCCCTTAGCCCAGAAGCGTGAGGGCTTCCTAACCCCTGCTCCTCCTTGGGACAAGAATTATTTACCTATTTTCACCTCAGGGGGAATGAACATAAGGAACCCTGATCGTTTATGCCCAATGTCAACATGACTACATTAAGTATTTCTTATTTATTGCGTCTAGAGAAAAAGATGAGAATCCGTTCACGCCGTGCCTTTATTTCTAACAGTGCATCGTGAGACCTTAGAGAAATCTAGTGTATGTCTTTAACGAGGTAGGTCTCTTCACTCCCGCCTGGGGGGGGGGGGTTTGCTAATGCAGGGGCTGGGGGTGGGGGGAGCTGCCTTCTGCAGAGAGCAGGGAACAGACAGGCTGGGCGGAGGGAAAGGGAGCAGGGAAGGCCTGCAGTGGTGGACGCCCTCCTCCTGCCCCTCCCTGGGATGGCGTCTCTGCCCCACATCCTTGCTGGGGCTTTGGGGCTGGTGCTGGAGAGCTCCTGGCCTCACCCCATCTGACCTTCAGCGAGAGGTGCCCTCGCTCGTGCGAGCCCCTACACTGTAAGGACATACGCTTCTCCACACAACGTTCAAAGCTGAGGTCTGAGGGTTCATGCGGCCAACCCTGCCCCTGACTTCGCAAACCCAATGGGCCCAATGGACTTGAGGAGGGTGGGACGTGGAGACAGATGGTAGGCCGCGTGGGCTTGCCGAGCTTGGCCCCAGAAATCTGAGTCCAGGAGGGCACGGTCCCCACTCCTGCTCTGCAAGGACTCACGGCTCTACCTCTCTCTGCTCGGCCCCAGAGTCCCGGCCCTCCCTGTCTGGGCTGGCCTGCCTCGGAGAGCCCCTGCTGTTAGGTTTGCGGGGTGCTCCCAAAGACACAGCGTGCCCGCGGCCACCATGATGGTCAAGACCTAGCAAGGCAGGTCCTTCATCAGAGCCAAGATGGCTGCCTGCCTCCTGCAGACCCCAGACCTCCTCATACAAGGACGCATGCATCCTCCTCACCCGCACGCAAGGTGACAGGGGGCCCCTGGTTAAGGAAGTCCCCACCCCACGCCCCAAGGCGTCCTGCTGGGGCAAGCCGCAGGACCCACGCTGCAAGCCCACCTCCGGGGCATGCCTGCCCTCGGCAGGTGGCACGTTTCGTTCCACTCCACCCTCCGGGTCTCGGCAATGCTGCCGCAGGACCTCCCACCGTGCTGTCCCCAACTCCTTCAGTGCTCGGTGGCTGTGGAGCCGCTGGGAGCCACTGGATTTCAGAGGGCAGGCCGGTGGTCCTGGAGGGGGGGCCTGTTCTTTACAATAATGCCACCGGGCTGGGAAGTTACTTGCCTTCCGTCATTTCTGCTGCCCCAGAGTCCCTGCAAAACCAGAGCGCCAGCCCGCTCTTCTATCCAAGCAAAGGATCCGGTAGGATGGGTGGCCGGCTGCAGGCCTCTGTGGCTGATGACATGCCCTTTCTCGTCAGGGACCGCCTGACCCCTTCTTCCATCCCACCTGCCTCTCCTTGCTGTGGGGCTCTGCGGATGGTCATGGCTCATCCCTCCTGCCAAGGCCCCTGGAATTTCTGCCGGCACGCCTCCTTCTCGGGGCTGGGTCTCTTCCCCATTGAAGTGGGGCGGGCACAGCTAAGCAGAGGGTTTCTCCTGGTGGAGAGCCCCGTCCCCACGGGCGCCACGGCCCTCCTTGGTGGGTTCTGCTGCCACCGCAGGGTGAGGGAGGCCATGAGGCCTGTGGTCCTTGAACAGGCCGACGGTCCCCGGGCCCGGATGTGCTGGCACTGTGGGCGGGCACACGAGGAGGAAAGTGTGGAAGGTTTTGGCGCCGACCCGGGAGAGGCGAAGGTCACCGGGTTGGGCCCGGCTACGCAGACAAGAACGGCGCAGGTGCACGATGAGATACGTCGGAGAACCGGCCCGCGTGCGCCCGGCACAAATGGAGAAGCAAGTGGGGAGTTTCCATTTGAAAAATCAGCTTGTGTCGGCAGCGGCAGCCGAGAGGGAGAGCGGCACACCTGAGCTCCCAGGACAACTGGTCGAGACGGGACGTGTCCCTGTGGCGGGCGGGACCTGGCCCTTGGGCATCGCCCTGCATGGCAGCGTGCACACACGTAGACGGGCGCAGGCCGCATGGAAGACGGCCTCTGGGGCCTCCTCTTTCCATCATGGCCACGGGGCCGGGGTCTGCGCGGTCCCAGATGGTTCTCTCTAGACAAAGAGAGGTGGTAAGAACTGAAGGTGATGCTGGGAAGCCGTCCTGACTGGTTTCAGTCCAGAGAGATGAAGGATGGGTCCTGAGTGGGGAGCTGGCTGCATCGGCCCCTTTCCTGGGAAGATTTTTTTCAGGAAACAAGGCAAGGTGCCTTGGCTACCGCGACAGAGAAACTTTTGGCCCTCTCAGCTCTGGGTGTACCTGAGAATACATGTATCTCCCTCATCTTTGTTTAAAAAATAAGCTAAACTTTCCAGGAAGGTACTTATCATTTCACAGGCTCGCAGAGTTAGCGAGTGGTAGAGAAGGAAACAGGGAAAGCCAGACCGAGAGCTTTAGAACACAAGGCTGGGAAGTTCGAGGGAAAATGAAAATGAAAATGAAATCTTAACAGTAATATTATACTTTTAACATGACGTCAAACCTTAAGGGCTGAGGATTCTTTTTTTGGACTTATTATTTTTTTTAAATAGATGCTTTTTAAATAAATGCTTTTTATCTGCTGCCAAAAGCGGAAATAAATATCCAAAGGAGATGCTTATCCAAGTTTGTTTCTCTACAAATTTCTACCCAAAGTGACTTGGTCCAGTTGTTCCGGGCACACTGGGCGTGGTGGCCGAGGAGCTCCCAGACCGGGGTGGCTGGCTGATGAAGAGAGGCGGCGGGGGTCCTGCCACCCCAGGGTCATCAGGCTCAGAGACCAGGAGGCTGCCCTCCTCCTGGAGGCAGCTGCCTGGTCATCTGGGCTCACTGGGGTGTCTCCCCCAGGTCCAGCCTGCTCTCCAAGAGGTGCAAAGTGAAGCGGGGAATTCAAACAGAGTGAAGGAGCACGAGAAGAGATGGCAGCCGTGGTTCCTGGGGGCCGCGGGGACAGTGGGTGCTCCCGATGTGTCTCTGAGTCAGCTGTACTGGGTCCCTGCCAGCAGGCCCCCACACACAAAGGGAGGCCACTCGGCGCCCGCTCAGTGCTCGGCGGGGCCCGTTGGCTCCGGGTGTGCGGCCTCCTGGCCTAGCTGCGCGGGGATGCCGGTGAGGGTGCGGAGGCTATGGGGGTCGACGGGGGGGATGAGGGTCAGCGACTCCACGCTTAGCGTGTCGGCAGCGTCCTCACAGAGCAGGGAGATGGTGGGCTGCTGGGCGGGAATGAGGCTGGGGGACAGGTTGACTGCCTCCGTGTCTGCGCTCCTTGCCAGGCTCTTGCTGGGCCTGGCCTCTGCGTCCATGTCGCTGATGATCACCAACTGGCTGGGAAGATGAGGCTGAGGCGGTTCCATAGTCACGGGGTCATCTGGGCGGGGGGGGAGAAAGAACAAGGGTACACTTAGCCCTGGGACACTCGGTTCCCGTCCTGCACAGAGGCCCAGGGACATCTGGGTGGGAGATGGTGGTTCTGGGGGGGGGGGGGGACAGCTTGTCTCCACTTCCTCCTTCTGGGGACACAGGAGCTGGTAAATCCAGTCTTCCCTAGGCCTGGGGAGAAATCTGTCAGGGCCCAGGGTTACCCTGACCTGTGATGTGAGAGAACAATTAGGGGCTTGTGCAGAATCAATGGGCAGAGGATGGCGCCAGGAAGTGGCCCGGGTGGGCTCCCTGTTAAGGGAGAGTCTTGGACCACCTGCCCAATGAGTAAATATGTGTTTAGGGAGGAAATGGGCTTGGGTGTGCTTATCACTTCAGGCCATTTCCAGAGCCTACATTTGGTACATTTACCCAAGGGGGAACTCACTGTGATATTAAAAAACAAAACAAAACAAAACAAAATGACAACAAAAAGGAATTCTATGGAACTTTTCAGCTTGCCAAACCAAAACAAAACCTCAGACTGTGGTTTGTCTCTCCTGCTCCTTCCCTGTGAGCTCAGTTAGCACCCAGACAGGGGCCATTCGGATCCTGAGCGTCCCTACGGTGGTCACGGAGAGAAACCACGGTAGCGGGAGGGCAGGGGACGCTCCGCCCAGTGCAGTGTATTTTTGAAGTGGCAATTTCTTTTTTTGGTGCTTTTCAAAATCCTTGATTAGATTACAGACAAATGGCCTATCTGCTTTCCCATGACAAGTTTGCCTGGACAGGAACAGCAGCTGAGACTGGTGCTCACCGTGGAAAACATCCTCCGGGCTTTAAGCGCCGGTAATCTGAAAGCATCGACAAGGCGGCCGAGGGCAGCTCGATGGGAAAGCAAATACCTTATTTGTACAGATTTTGGGGTTGACCAGGCATCAGCAGAAGGTGCTGATGACAAGGTGTTGAGCCATGAGTCGGAAAGCACTCTGGACCCTGGGAAGGATGGTAGACATGTTTTCTTCGATGAGATTCAAGTTAGGTTCTTTTTTTGTTTTTAAAGTTAAGCCAAAACAAAACAGGGCTGCAAACTGAACATACAGCAAGAGAACGGAAAAACCAAAAGCAAAAGAAAACCGAAGGGCATAAAGAATGGGACGCAGAAGAGGATCCCCACCGTGGAGAGAAAGCCCGAGCAACAGACTGAGCTTCCCAGAGAATGCGACAGCGTTTCTTCCCCCAAGGCTCCTGGGCAAGACAAGCTCTCAAAGATTCCATATAATCCCTTCCTAGGGCCTTTTGTTGTCCTTCCTTTTATTGTTATTATGTATATATCTATTTTTAAAGAGAAATAAGGCCCAGGGAAAACCACTGCACAGGGCTTTGGGTCGGCCCTCGCTCCAGGGGTGGGGTGGCGGTGAGCACGAGCGGAAAATGTGATTCAGGGTGTGAGCCGAGCCCAGAAACGCTGAATAAACACTCCACGCGCATTCTGGTTTCTCTGCATCTCACTGAGTTCGCTCCATTCAGCGAGGACACCCTTGCATGCACAGGCTCACGTTCTGACCCCGCACGATCTACCTGCTGCTCATCAGAGCATGTGGGACTCTGTGCAGGCTCACCTGCTCTGGCTTCTTCCACCTGGCTTCCGGGGAGGGTGGGCATGGCTACGGGCCTGCATACCTACGGAGCCAACACGTAAGCTCAGCTGCTGACAAGGCAGTTCCGAAATGACTAATTCTCCAAATGGCACTTTTGTGCCATCTGGAGACAGAACTGCCAAGCATTACCTTTATGTTCTCTTGAAACTTCTTGTAAGAGTTCCCTCTTGGCTCATTTGCATGCAGATATTCAAAAAAGCTGGCAAAACTCTTTCCCTGATCCCTAATGGGGTTTTTGGTGATAAGCATAATCAAGGATATGGGAAATTTGCCATCAAATATATTTAAAAACCAGCAAACCAACAGACAATATTACACACACACACAATTGGTGTCTTCTTTAAGAACCAACAATTTTTATTAAAAGGGTTGGGTTTTTTTTCCCCTTAAAAATAGCCTTTTTCCATTTTTTATTGGGTAAAAATAACCTCTCACCCATCACCCACAACCCTTACTTCTTTTTTTAAACTAAGAATTGCTTCCTGAATGTGAGCTACAAACGTATCCATTCCAAGGGGAACAAAAAAGGAGATCTTTTTCACCACGGGAAAATTACCCAACGAAGACACATGTTCTGGTCCAGGGCTGAGCCCTTGGTTTTGCCTGTCTGCTGGTATTTTCGGCTCAAAGGCCACAGATAGGGGCCTGGCCTCGAACATGAGAGATTTGGAGAACATTCTGGTTTCCTGGCCAGGAGCCAGGGAGAAGAGTGGAGGCCTGAGCGGGAAGTCCTGGATGTCCAGGGTTCTGTGAGAGATGCTTGGTCTCCCGAAGCTCTGCCTGTAGCTGACACCGAGGCAGTGGGTCCCCACGTCCCTGGCCAGCACCCTCCAGAAGCTGATCTCTGGCTTTGGGGCAGGGGCTTGGCTGGCCCTTGCGGAGTGATGGTTTCCAGGAAAACTTTGGGGCTGTTGTACTCAGGCTGGGAGAGTGGGACTGAGAGAGAGAGAGAGTGAGTGAGGGAGAGAGAGGGAGAGAGAGAGAGAGTGTGAGTGTGTGTGTGTGTGTGTGAGTGTGTGTGTGTGTGTGTGTGGTGGCGGGGGGGGGGGGGGGCAGCAGAGCATAGCAGGGCAAAGGGCAGAGCTCAAAGGAAGCAGCTTTTAAATGCAAAAGAAGGCAAAAGGCTCCCGACTGGCCAGTGGGAGGCCAGCATGGGAACCCCTAAGGGAAGGTGGGGAAGGTGGTGGGGGAGGTGGGGGGCAGGCAGCAGCTAGGGGCCCTGCGCAGGGAACCCGCGTCTGTGGCCACCTGGGACACTGCACCTAAGTACGGGGGATGATGGAGTCGCCCTGCGCGTACCTGTGGGGGAACCGGCTCTGGTCTCTGGCTGAGGCGGGACTGAATCTAACACTGAGCTTTGAGGAGGGTCGGGGGAGAGTGGGGATTGGGGGACCAGGAAGAAAAGGAAAAGAGAACCTAGCTGACTTCTCGGTTGCTTTTTGCAAAATCTGCTGCTCAACCCTCGTGGCCTAACGCAGGGACCCCCCCCCCCCAATCCCGCACAGACTGGGCTGGAGAACCACCCCCCCCCCGCCCCGCACTGGGTGTCCACGGAGAAGGACGGCGCTTCCAGGCTGCCCGAGGCTCGAGGGCGGGGGATGCGGGCCCCAGCCCAGGTGAGGCTGCAGGGGAACGGAAGAACAGGCTTCGCGGAAGCTGGGGAGATGGCCGCTTGGAGGGGGCGGCACAGCCCTGGTCCCCTGAGGCCCCGCGAGGTCCCCCGAGGCCCGGGAAGGCGGTGGCGGGGCGTGTGGGCCGCACAGGCTAGCGGACGAGACCTGCCTGAGTCGCCTGCGGGAGGTGCCGTGCCAGCTGCCGTTGGAAGCACTAAACCCAGTGGCCGCCGTGACTGTCGGCCTCCGACAGGCTGAACACTCGCCGGCGTCCTTTCCTGCCATTCCTGACTAGAGGCAAACACAGCGACAGGTCAGAGAAAGCCTTCAACCGCGCGACAGAGAAAGGGGCCCGGAGAGGGGCGTGGAGCTGTGACGGATGCCCGGCCCGGACGAGAGCCCCAGGGGAGCGGGGCGCCGTCACCACGGCGAGGGGCCCAACCGGGTGCCCACTCGTGGGGCCCACTCGAGGGTCAAGACGGCGAAGGCTCAGTCCTGTTGGAAAGGAAAGACTGGGAGTGGTCGGCCACGCGTGGTGTCGGTCGGCGAGAAACGTCCAGGGACAGAGGGAGAGAGGGACAGAGCCGCCGGGCAGATCCACACACGAACCAGCCGTGAGCACGAGGGCCCTGCTTCCCTGGGACCGTCTGAGGGGGGAAGGCCGTGTGGCTGGGGGACGGGAGCCCAGCGGGCTAGAGAAGCAAGCAGATTGCCGCCCTCCGACCGATGAGGCCCCGAGCTTCCTGATGTCACCACACTAAAGCCAACAGCACAGCTCGGGGAGCTCTGGGCAAGCCCTGGACCCCTCCCCAGCCACACTCCAGAAGACACTCGGCAGCTCTGCCCCTTTGGAGACCAAGGCCAAGCCACAGCAGGAAGGCCCGAGACCAGGTGCCGAGCGGCCAAGGTGGGGGGGTTCTAATCAGCTGAAACAAAAATGTTAGGAGCATCTCCCTGGGAAGGAAGGATCCGTACTCTTGGACACAACCTTGAGGTTTGAGCCAAGGTGAAAATTAATGCAACAGAACACAACGTGAATATAACCTAATGCGGCACGGGCCTATGCGCTTAAAAGTCGTTACGATGGTGCATCGTGTGGTATGTGTATTTCACCACGATAAAGAAAAAAAAATTAATGCCATGGAGAAGACTGGGGAGAAGAGAACAAGCCTTGCTCGGGGTTTCTGTCCTTCAGGTCCTGCCTGACTGGTAACCGAGTTCAGTGACACGTGGGTCAGTCTTGGGCTGTCTGGCTCCCACTGGGCCCGAAAGGGACCGAGCACTGGGGGATAAGGTGATGTGTTCAGACAGCCCAGGTGGCAGGTGAGGATGGGGAGAGCAGGACCCCGCCCCTGCCAGGCCTCAGCCCGGGGCTTCCAGGGGCCAGACCCTTCCTTCTTCCTATAAAACCTTGGGGTAAGGTCAAAGCGCTCATTCCATGGGCCCTAAAAACGGACGACGGAAAGAGCAGGCTGGACTTCACGCTGACTTCATTTTTTAACAAACGATTGTCTCTTATCTGAGCCTCACGCAGGGCGTGCGGCTGCAAGCATGTGCACTGGGTGTGTGTGAGCGTGCATCTGCCTGTGTGTACGTGCGTGCGACGGGCTGCAACCCAGAAAGTTTTTCTAAAGTATTCCTACCGGCCCTACGTTTGGTTCCAAACTGGGTCTATTTTCTCTTTCCCGCCATACGTTCTCTGCAATTTCTGCTTCTCAAAACCATCAAGTGTTTAAGGAAAAAAACCCCTGCTAATTTCAACTCTATAATTTTCTCAGTGAAGAGCAAGCTGAGGCCTATCAGGCCGGCTGCACTGGACAGGTGGGCGACAAGATGCCAGGTCCCAGGAGGCTGCCCAGGGCACCGGTCTCCCCAGGGAGGCTTGAGGGTCTCATTGCACTTTCTATAAAGGACATGGGGAACAGGTCAACTTGCGCATCAGCTGTTACAACTGGACAATAATTCCCTCGGCACAGCCTTAACAGGTGAATAAGTAACCATGAAAATAAAATACCCTTGCTCCCAACTCCTTCTAGCTGGTTTCTCTGGTTACCAGGGAATTCAGTTGTGACCTGGTAACCAGGTGTCTCTTGGCCCTGATTTGAGGTCCAGCACTTGCAAAAAAGCCACTCACAGGCATCCACACTCTGTCCCTGGCATGTGGAGGAGACTCAGAAGCAGGTGTTCCCAGCACAGAGGGCAAACCAGTGACCCTCTGGGCGGGTCCCTTCCCGCTGTGGTGAGGGGCCCTCTGCCAGCGCTGGGCCACGGGCTTAGGCCCCCACGGGCACATGCGCTGTTCCTCAAAAACAGGCCGCCCCTTGGGGTCTGTATCTGGAAGGGCAGGATTTATGGGTAGACCCCAGGGACAGTTCTCAACTGGACACTTGCGTGCGGTCATCTGGTAGACCCTGGTCTCCCCTGCTAGCCTGTGTGTTCCTTTGTCACCTTCTATCCCCAGTGCCTGCACATAGTGGGGACTCAACAAAAACCTGTTTGGTTAGAAAACGTTAATGCAGTGGAGACAGGGCCCCAAGGCCGGCAGAGATGAGATGCAGAGAGAGGCTGGACGTGAGGGCCACCCTTGGAGGGACCCTAGTGAGATCAGGTCTGACATCCACAAAACCTGCATCACTCCGACTCAAGGTCCCGTGGGCAGCTGAGAAAAATCTGTATTTGGGATAAAAAGGGCTTCTTGCAAACCCAGGCAGAGAACTTGAGGTCCCCTGGGCTGGACAGAGGGGCGGGGGGTGGGAAACAACCAAGTATCAAAAGAGTTTTACGCCCTCATTTGGGGATGACCCCACTTGGGCTGGCAGAAGAGATGGATGGGGCCCTCTGGGGTCCACTGTGTTGCTGACTTGGGGGACCAGCAGGCTTCCCCCCACAGGGGCCACATGGCCCAGCCTTGGTTGACTGGGGCGGCACAGTTGCCAGGGTCTCTGTGCACGGGCTGTGGCTTTTCGGGTGGTTTCTAGAGCAAGCACACACACTGGAAGGAGAAATGCATGTACTCCGTGGGCTGCCCCCCGACGGAGATCTGAACCTGAGGTCCAGGGCTCTGCAGCGCCCCGCAGAGGCACGGGAGACAGACTTAGGAACTGCAGGGATATTCTGAGGGGTGATTTCAGAAGGTGGACCATGGGTTCTAGAATTACTAAGGTTGGGGCCCGTGGTGTGTGGGCTCCTCGGTTTCCTGGTTGCACTGTCGTGGCCAAGCCGTGCGATCCTTCTGAGGCCCCGTGTTTTCAACCGTCCAGCGTGAGGTGGAGGGTGGCAAGTCTCAGTGAGGGGGTGTCTGTCCAGTGTTTGTGAGCACAGTGCCCGGCACACGGGGGGATTAGGAGGTACGTCTGTTGGGCCTCGATGGAACAGGTACACAGCACGCACCGCATGCGCACGGAGAAGGGTGTGCAGTGGGTGCCCGTGCCCCATCTACGGCTAGGATAGTGTAAGGCTCACCCCTGGCTTTCAGGGATATCCTTGGATAATTCTGGGGTTCAAAGCCGCAGGGTCACAGAAAGCTGGGCCTGTCTTGTCCCCTGATGGATGGCATCTCTCGTCTGCTTCTCCAACCAAACACCTGCCTGTGCAAAGTGTCGCTTCGAGAGCAGAGAAGCCACTGGAGCTAATTCTGGCTGCAAGGGGCCTGGCAGCGGCTCTCCCCACGGGGAACTTCCTGGACTCAGAGACTCTGGAAGTACAGGGCTGGGGATGCCTCTCATTCAGCACTGTGTCCTCCAAAACGACTTGGGAGGACAAGTGGCCCCTTGACTGGGCCGCAGCTGTCTTCTGCTGCCCCGGCCTGTCCTGCTGCCCAGCTGGCCCCGCAGGATGCCGCCTCCGGCCGACTACGGCCAGACCCCACGGGCGGAGCTTCTGCCCATTAGAAGTCTGAACACCAGGCCACTGCTCCGGGCCGACATCAACTCAGGAAAGTGGCCGAAGAGCACCCGTCCTGAAAACACCTCCCTTGCAGCCTCTGCTTCCTGTCCAGCACAGCCCGGGGAGACAGGAGGCGCGTGGCGGCACCATCTGGGGAGGCCTGCCCTTACGAGGAACACGGAAACCTCCTGTGCTGTGCTGTGGATGGGACCCAGGAGGCTGGAGCCTGGCCTGGAAGGTGGCCCTTGAGAGGCCAAGTGAATGGTGGCCCTCCCAAAACCTGCCACCCCGGCCTGTGACTCCTCTCGCCGGGCCCCTGTGACAGGGAGCAGCGCATGGGTTCCAATGCTCTCTCTTCCCAGGGATCGGGAGCTGGGTCCTCAGTCGAGAGTGAAGGGCAGGCTGCCTGACAGGCTGGCCCTTCGTCAGGGGGTGAGTTACTTCAGTGTCTGCAGAGACTCGGACAGGCAGGCTGGGCCACAAGCTTTTACTGTCAGGCAGCATAAAAAATGGGGCCTCACACACTTGCCTCCGCAGGCCTGCCAGGGACGCATGGAACGGGGGCAGACACCCAGGAGAGCCTGACCATCACTTATCAACTGGTGCTGCCTGGCTACCTGACAGCCAGGCTGACAGCCCCTGCATTTCCCAGATGAGAACACAGGTCACTGGCACCGTGCGGGGGATGGTGGTGGTAGGGACAGAGGGGCTGAGGGAGGCCAAGAGAAAAAAAAATTCGCCTCCTGGGGACCCTGAGCCTCTGGGGGAAGGTGCAGAGCCGAAGCCCCAGGGGCCGCGCTCACGTGAACATCTGCAAACACAGACCTGATTTTGACGATTGTGGGTCTTGGCTGGTTTCAGTTTTAGGCAAAGAAGTACACGGCTCGTTTGTTTGCTTAGCTGTTGTCTGTGCCTTCTTAAACATGAAAGAAAGGCGTACACAGCTCCATTGGGAAGAGAGCTTCACCCCAAACGCAATCGTCAGGCTAAGTGTGTTTGGGTGCACACGACACAGACACAGAAGCGTGCACATGCAGGCAGCACGTGGGTGCGCACACAAGCCCATGAACACACACAACCCTGCCCTTCGGGACCCAGAGCCACCGTGAGATCCGGCTGCAGAGGAAGGTGGAGGGTTCTTCCTGGCTTCTGGAGAAAGTGCCGTCTGAATGTCCCGCTGTGGGCCTGGGACTGGCAGCAACACCTGCAGCCAACCTCAGATCGGGCTCAGAAACAGCTCAGAGAAGGCGGCCACCTCCCCCAAGCTGGGGCGGGGAGGGGGCGGGTGGAGGAGCAGGTGCTGAGTGGAAGAAGGTCTAAGTGAGGTGGTGTGAGGGTGACCCTGCTGCCTGGGCCTCGGGAATGTCAATAGTAGCTGGAGGCAGTGGATGCTGGCGGAAGAAAGGGGCTGCAGGCAGCAGGCGAAACCAGGCGGGGTTAACCCTTCGCTGGGGAATGTGGGAGCTGACAATCCTGGAGAGGTGCACGCATCGAAGGAGATCACGGGCTCCGGTGCTGACGGAATGGGAGTCGGGGGCCCTTAGTTTCCTGGCATGTGGCTTTTATCATGACCCCCCGATCCAGCGCCTGACAAGAGTTTGGTCAGGTGCCCTGAGATAGGAGAGGTGAGAGCTCTGGGTGGGATCTCGAAGGAACAGCGAAGGACATCGAGGGTCCCCAAATGAGGGGGCCTCCCAAATCAGAACAGACCCATGGGGTCGTGCTGCTGGGGCGTGAAGCTTCATGCACCTCCAAGCCCCTCTCCAGCATCCCTGCTTGGGCCCTGCTCCATCTGGCTGCATTGTGCAGCCAAGGGGTTCAGGAAAAAAGCCTGGTGCCTTGCCCCTGGGATCTCACCGGGCACAGTGAGGCGCCCCCGTGTGAGGGGCTCATGGTGGCTGAGAACACAGGGGGTGCCCACTCATCTCACCCTAGCCCCCCTGCCCACGGGGTCTGCCTGTGCAACGCCTGCCCTTGTCTGAGGCCCAGGAAGGCGAGACAGGACTCTAGCACATCCCGAAAGATTCCCAAAGGGTGTACCCCTGGCCACAGATGACTGGACTGCACACATTTACAGAGAAAACTGGTACGTTATGAAGGAAAGAACAAATTAGCGTGGACACATGCTTCTGCCAGGTTCACACACTCCAGTCTGGGAGAGCCCTCCTTGTGGAGGTGATAATGGGGCAGATGCAGGCTCCGCAGCCGTCCATCCCCTCCAGCCCTGTGGTCAGGGAAGGTCTTTCTCGGCGGGGGGCCAGCCTGCAAAAGGAGTGACTCCTCCCCTGTGGGGAGCTAGACCAGCTGTCGCATCAGAACGGAACGCAGAACCCCAGGCGGCGGCGGCCCCAAACACGATGGCAAGGACAAGCTGGGGGTCAGCGGTCTTGGCACGGAGGGATCACAGAGCTCCCCGAAGTCGCCGCCCTCCCCTGCCACCCGCCCCCCCCCGCCCGCATCATGTCACGCGGCCAATACCTGACGGGCTCTGGGTGGCAGAAGGGGTGGATGATGAGCTGGCGCCTCCAGAGTCACAGTGGCTGGTGCTCCCACTGCCGCTGGGGCTCCCGCCGGCAGATGGTGAGGCCAGGGATGGCAAGCTGTGCTGGTTTATGCACTGGGCCACGGCAAAGCCTGCAAGGTAAGTGGTGAGGTGACCAAGGGGGAAGAAACAAGCTGGCCTAGGAGGAGGGGGTGCCACACTCCCCGATTTCGTGGGAGATGCCACGGGCAAGCCACACCTCAAAGGGGGGGGCCGGGGGACCTTAACCTAAAGGCTACACCGCCCCAATCCAACCCAGCCCCTTGAAGAGTCCCCAGCTGACCTCTCTGGCCATGGGCCTGACCTGGACACACTTCAAAGCCGTCTCAAGGAAGAGCGTGCAGCCGGCCATAGAGCCGAGGCCGTGAGCCATTAATCAGAGTGCCTGACGCTGGCTCAGTGACGGGCTGGCTGTGGCCTTGAAGGGGACACGCAGCCTGGGGGCTTCAGAGGCATCCTGGTGGGACTCAGGACAGCCTCACAGCAAAATCTCAGGGCCTTCACTAATGTGCCCGAGTTGTCAAAGGCAGGGCACTGGGCGCGAGGGGAGGCGCCCCCGAGACTCTCCCTGCCACAGATTTTGCTCAGCTCTGGTGAAGAGCTCCCAATTGCAGAGTTCCACACAGCCCTTGGAGCAATTCTGGGTTCGGAGATGGGGACCGCACATTTGCAAGGCCCGTGGCCTTCCCGCACCAGGGAGTGGGGGAGCCCCACGCTCTGGAGACGCTCGGACTTGGTCAAGCTCTGCTCGCCATGCAGAAATACCAGAACGCGTGCCTAGCACCACCCCCTGCTAGCTGGGAGGGTCGTCACTAGGTTCTTGTCACTGCACTGTACTGGGGGTACAGTGGGACACAGGGCTTGGCACACAGGGAGAGTGGAGTGCTCTTTATGATGAAAGGAGGCCTGTCTGCATGAGCCCATCTGGGAGCCCCTTTCCTGCAGACCATGGCTTTCTGTCCCTTCTACAACCTGCTTTCCTAAAGGGCCATAGCTTCTGACTTTATTCACTAAGTGCAGGAAGCTCCCATGGAGCAAAAGCCTTGTTGATGATCCCAGGGGGCTATGCGGACTGTGGTGGCTTCTGCATCAGCCCCCACGAGCTGAGCAGGACCATGGTCAAGGTGCTCTGTGGAGCCTGATGCTTCTGCCCTGTAATTCTGAAGTGGCACCAAACTGGAGTGGGGATTGCGGGGGGGGGGGGCATGTCCTCCTTCTAGCTGAGAGTGGGGATCCCAACCCTCCCAGCCAATCACATCAAACCTCTCCACTTCCTGAGCACACTCACCCCAGCCAGCCCCAAACCTCATTCATGCCACCTGCACTGGCTGAACTTCACAGTCCAGCTCCCATGGACACTTCTTCCAGAAGGTTTCCTAGGCTCTGACTTTGCTTTTTGCAGAACTCAGGAAGGTGGCAGCGTGGTGGGTGGTGGTCAGCAAACTATGGCCCAGTGTTTTGTAAATGAAGTTTGACTGGAACACAGCCATGGCCCTTTGCTTGCATACAGAGTCAGTGGCTGTTTCGAGCACTGAGCAGTTGCCACACGGCCCGCGAAGCCTGAAATATTTTACTCTCTGGCGCTCGACCGAAGCAAGCACACTGAGCCTGGCCTCTGGCACCAGGAAAGCTTGGGTTCTATCCCTAGTCTGCTCACTCACCAGACCGTGGGGCAAGTCCCTGCACTGTCCTGAGCCCCTTTCCCTTCACCGACCGGTGGGCAAACATGGGCCTGGCCGGGGTGGGGACCTGCTGCTTCATTCCCCACCCCGCCCCCCGTTAGGACTAGTGGGGCCCCGTACCTGGCCACCGCGGAGGGGCTATTTTGTATTAATGTTTGTGTGAAGTTATTTTTGTCTAAGGATTAGCTCCTTAAAAGCCAGGTCTTTATTGTTGTATTCTCTTTATTTTTTTATTATTATTAATTTTTTTTAGTAGGGTTGACGCGCAATGTGACATTAATTTAAGGTGTCCCGCTTAGTGATTTGTCAAGTTTATACGTTGTGCTGTGTTCCCTAGCATAGCTCCCATCTGTCCCATTACAACACTATTACAATATTACTGACTGTATTCTTTATGCTCTGTTTTCTATTCCTGTGACTTCCTCGTTCCTTCACTGGAGGCCTGTACCTCCCTCATCTCCCTCCCCTCGGGCAAGTGGGGTCTTTATTTATACCCCACGCCAAGCCCTCCAGGTTTCGCAACGTGAGGCCTTGTGGGAGCGTGGTGGGTTAAATTCACCAGCTTCTCGTTTGTGGAGGGCAGTACTCCCCTCCCCCAGCTACCGCGGACCAACATTTGCTTGCAGGGAGAATAGCAGGACTGACGTGCTGGAGTTCCCAAGAAGAGGTGTTATGTGATATGCCGTGTGTATCTGTGGCGGAAGGGGGAGGCTCAGATTGGCTACGGCAAACACCGAGGCAAATCTGAACGCCAGTCGGGAAGGTTCCCAGGGGGCGATCAGCAGCAGCCCCACGGCCCTGGCTTTATGGCTGCTTACTTCTTAATCACTTCAAGCGGTAAACTCCCAAGTTTACAAGCTGTTAACTTGACTCGAAAATGAATCACGCCTTAACAAATCAAAATGTCAAGATGGCTTTTCCCCGAGCTGCTTATTTATCAGAGCAATGAACACAGGGGCCGCCGAGTGTGGTAAGAGGGTTGGGACCAAGCCTTTTATGTCTCCGCCAACGCCCTAGGCAGGACAGACGGATGGTGTAGCTGTCACCCCCTTCTCTGTCAGGCTCTTTAGAGCCCCAGTTTATTGCTCTAAGACCTCTGGGGCCGGGCATGTGCGGTAGATGTGAGGCTGAGAGGCTAGAGTGCCTTCATTTTGGGAATGGATGAGGGGCAAGCCACATACCTTTCGTTTGTGCTGAGAAATAAATAGAAGAAAAAAAAATCACCAATTTCTGATACCACCTGTTCGCAGGGCCTAGCTGAGCAGAGACAAACGAGCACATCCTCCCCTTGCTGGCTGCTGCCAGAACCTCCCCCGCTTCTTTGCCCCCCGCTTTTGTACTCCTCTCCCCTCCCCCACGGCACTGGGGACCCAGAAAGGCTCAGCTCAGTGGTTTTTTTTTTTTTTTTTTTGCCAGGTGTCCAGACTCTTCCTGTCATTTCAAGGGGCTCCTTCCCAAATTGAGGTGGCAACCACTGTGAGAGCCGGTCTGACAAGTCAGAGGGCCAGGAGGGCTCTGGAAAGAACTTAGAAATGCCTGTGGCCAGAGTGCCTGTCCGCCGGCTCTTGCTTCATCCCGGCCAGGCAGTTCCTGATGAACTAGCTTTGGTGGAGGTGCCAAGGGGCTTTCTGGGCACGAGTCAAACACACATGGACTGCCAAGTATTTGCAAACACAGACAAGCCAGAGATCGTGGGACAAGGGCACAAAGAGGCCTCCCTGAGATCTCCAGCAGATAAAATTCTTGGCTCTCCCCGAGTATGTGTCAAAAACAGCCCGTGAAATGTGTATCAAAGGCCATACGATTTTCACATCATCTGAGTCCACGTCTAGAACTGTACGCTGTAGAAGGCACTGTGGACGGATTCCCAGAGCGAACGATACCGATGTTCAGAAGCACTGGTATGTGTATGTACCGGGAAGCTGGAAGGCCGACGTGCCTACCGGTCGGCGAAAGGCCAAATGAATTCAAATACATCTAGGTGGTGAAATCCTCTGCTGGGGTTAAAAATGCTGGTGAGAGAGAAGATTAAGTGCGGAGGAAAACGCTCAAGGCAGTAAGCGAAAAAAGATCAGAAAAAGCATGTCCCACATGCTCCTGTTGTCGTAAAAAAAGGAAGGAAGGAAGGAAGGAAGGAAGGAAGGAAGGAAGGAAGGAAGGAAGGAAGAAATGAATAAAAGAAAGAAAAACAAATCAGGCTCTGCCTCCCTCCTTGCGTGGAGCAGAGCAGAGTGCAGGGATCCAAGCTAAAGTCATGGGAGAACCAGGTGGTTTTATTACATGAGTTTTCGTTTTTGTGCTTGTCTGAATTTTTTCAATATTCCTTCGATGATTATTATTTTGTACTGGGGGCATGAGCTGGGGCACGAGCTGGACAGGCTCAAGCTCCTGGGTCCCTAACACACCTGTAGGATCCGTTCTGGCCTCCAGAGCCCTCACCCCTGGGCCCAGTAAGAGCCTCCCCAAAGCTGGGGCCCGGTGGGTGCTCCTGAAGCAGGCAGGCCCGCACCGACGCTGAGCCCCATCCCCTGCTTTCCAGGAGCGTGGATTTCACAGGGGCAGCCCGGGGTCTTCCTGCTGCCCTCTGGCCCCGTTCTGCCAGTTATTCTGGGAAGATGAACTCATGAGTAACTCTCTGGCATGTGTCAAGCACAGAAATACCACAAAAAGGTCAGCCTTCTATTTTAGGCCCCCTGATAGAGGGAGCACTGGGCTGGGAGTCAGAACCCCAAGTCTGGGTCCAAGCTCTGCCCAAATGGCTTTGTGACCTTGGACAAGCCTCTTCTCCTCTACAGGCCTCTACGTCTAGATGTGGAAAAACAAGACAGTTAGTGAGGATCTCTTGGCTTCCATGGCCAATAGTTTTCTTTTTGCCTACAAATCTGAATTTGATTTGAATCCTCTGACCTTTTTGGGAGGGAGCCAGAGGAGAAATGAACCTTGAGTACACTTTGTACACAGCCCTTCTCTCGGGCAGAATGCCCACTAAAGCTTTCCCCACGAGCACCAGGTTGCTGTGAGTGTCAGGGTCCAGAGCTGGTCGGCAGGAGCCCAGGGGCTCACAGATGCGTTTTGCTTCGCTCACACCACGTTTGTGGGCCATTTGTTTTCAGAACCCCGTTTACACACTGGGAGATTTTATATCCAAATCTGGACTTCTGGCTTCTTAAAACACAGAAGGATCTGGCAGCACTGGGCCCCCCTCCCACGCAGCAGCAACTAGAGAGAGGGAGGGAGTTGATTCTCCCCCCTCCCCACCCTGACTTGCCTTCTGCTCCCAGGTGTTCGGTTATTAATCTCTATGCTTAGATTCTTGGTCAAATCCCCAGACTCAGGGAAGTTCCCAACCCCAGAGACCTTTTGTGTCATCTCCCTCCTCAAACCCTACTCCCTAGAATCACCGGCGGGGC